TATATATATATATATATATATATATATATATATATATATATATATATATATATATATATATATATATATACATATATATATATATATTATCTTACATATTTAATTTATCAGATCAAAACATATTAAATAATTGTTATCCATCTAATTCTTAATATAGGTGGTCAGCATAGCAGAGAGGTGGTGTCGAGAAGGTGGTTGACACGCCTTCGTATATTTGAAATGATTGAAAGTGTATCACGCAGAGCGTTGAGTGGCTCCAGTGGGAGCTACCACGTTCGTGGCGCTGAATTAGCGAGGAATCGCAGATTAAAGTCTTTGTCAGCTACTGTTACTTTTCTAGATGACACACAACATACGTTTCAATTAGATGTAAGTCTATATAATACTTTTTTGTAAATCTAATAATTTTCAAATTTGAGAAAAATCCTAAATGTGTATTGCAGAAACGAGCGAAAGGACAAGTTCTACTCGACTTGGTGTTTCAACATTTAGAACTCATTGAAAAGGATTACTTTGGCTTACAATATGCTGAAAATGGAGTTAGCACAACTATGCCTACATCTGATGTGATGGTAACATGATTCAAAATATTAGTAACATTCAGCATAATTTAAAAAATGTTTTTTTTTAAGAGGGATAACATATATTTACTAATCTTTAACATGGTAATTTTCAGAGATGGCTAGATCCGTCTAAATCAGTGAAAAAGCAAATAAGAAGTAAGGGTAAAGATCGTATTTCCTTAAAAAAAAAAAAAGAGAACATTCTTAATTATACAGAAAAGAAATATCCTAAAAATAAAATTTACAATTATACCAGCATAAATGTATAATATATTTACTTTTGATTGTTTTAGGTGGACATTTCTTTTTTAGGGTAAAGTTTTATGTATCTGATCCTAGTAAACTACAGGAGGAATATACTAGATATCAGTTTTATTTGCAAATACGAAGAGATATTCTTCAAGGGAAGCTTCAATTGCCACCCAGTACAGCTTGTTTAATCGCAAGTTATACCGTTCAATGTAAGTTCCAAAAATAATTTTTCCTATATATATATACAATATATTTTGAAATATGCAAGACAACTTGATACACACTGTATCTCTTTTATTTAATGCATATATAGCGGAATTAGGAGATTACCATCCAGAGGAGCATGGACCAGGATATCTTTCGCAATTGCAATTGATACCTGGACAAACTGAAGAAATGGAGAAGAAGATATCGGAATTACACAAGTTGCACAAGTTTGTACATTTTATTATCTACATGAGAAATTTATTCGTTATAATTTTACTTTAATATCAACGAAAACATTTCTTTCCCTTTTTTTAGGGGACAGTTACCAGCTGATGCAGAATTTAACTTCTTAGATCACGCAAAACGTTTAGACATGTATGGAGTGGAGTTACACAAAGCTAGGGTACATATTGCATAAAATGGAAAAGCATTTTTGTAGAATAAGGGCAATGGTAAATTAATATTTTGCTTCTCTTTTAGGATTCAACAAACAAAGAGATACAGTTAGGTGTTACATCGATCGGTTTGGTTGTATTTCAAAATGGTATAAAAATTAATGTATTTTCATGGTCAAAAATAGTTAAAATTTCCTTTAAAAGGAAACAATTTTTTATACAGCTTCGACGAGAGCAAGTGAGTTCGATTATTTGTTTGTCATAAGATTAATGCACACACACAATTTGCCTCTGTTAATTTTAGAGTATAATACGTTTATTCTTGCAGTCTGAAAATTACGACACACTACTGGGTTTCAACATGCAAACGTACCGCAGTTCAAAAAATTTATGGAAAGCTTGTGTCGAACATCATACCTTCTTTAGGCTCCACAGTCCAAAAATGCGACCAAAACGATTTCCTCTTACTTTAAGTAGTAGGTTTACATATTCGGGACGAACGGAATATCAAACGGTCGAAGACGGAAAACACAGAGCACGTGTGGAAAGAACATTTATACGGTAATTAATAATAATTAAGTTCTATCGAGATAATATTACGTATATATTATTATTTATATATTTACATATCTCTAGGATTTCTCTCTCTCTCTCTCTCTCTCATTAATACAGCATTTTTTAACAATTAGATCACCTAGCAAAAAGATAGCTCATACTATTACGACGGCATCTGTTACCGAAGACAAAGGAAAGTTAACGATATCTGCTGGAAGATCAGCGCGATCTTACGACAATAAAGTTCAATCTCTCGGTGCTCGCGAACCTCGTCAAGCGTGGGGTGAAGGAAATCCGAGTGACGAGTTAGTTAACATATATCGTACTTTTATATACATACAGTTTAATTTATGCGACGTATTACGCTTATGTGAAATATATATCGTAGCAAGAGAATATTATTTCTGGAACTAAAGCGTATATACACTTTTAGTTAGTATCTTTGGTTTCATTTATCTTCTCTTATAGTGAAGGTGGTTTTTTATCTTTGAGGGAAGAAATAACAGGAAGCTACACGCAAGGTGGAGCGTTCTCACCGGCATTAGGATCTCGAGTATTCAGTTATGCGGATGACGATACAACCGCTGAAAGAAATATCTATGATCTACCGGACTACAGCGAACCTACTAGTTCACCAGCTCCGCAAGTATATGTTCACGCATTTCAGATAATATGAATTTTTCCAACATATATAAATGACAGAGCTAAAGTATCCTACAAGCACTTTTTATTATTTTAGATACTAGAAGACGGTTTGGTAACCATATCTTTAACACCAGACGAACAAGGTCGTTTCGGATTCAACGTAAAAGGTGGGTTAGACTTGGACATGCCGATCTTGGTGTCACGAGTAGCTCCAAACACACCCGCTGATCGTTGTTTTCCAAAATTAAACGAAGGAGATCAAGTACGTATTCATTGAATATACAGAACATTGATTTAACTACTGTACATTTTAAAGTCTAGACTTGTATCATGGTTTTGCTATATCTTGAATTATTTATTGGTAAATTGTGTTTGATACTTATTTAGAATTCTTTCAAAACTTTATAAAATAAAATGTCTTTTTATGCAGGTTGTTTATATCAATGGAATTGATGTGAGTGGCTTATTGCACGAACATGTAGTCAATTTAATACGACAGTCGCGTGATTGTGGACCCGGTGAACTTACATTAACTGTTAGACCTAATGCACTATATAATGCATTGGCTGGTACCGATGAGACATCTGAAGAAGAACCACCTTATAGGTACGTTGTGTGTGTGTGTATTTCAAACTAGAGTTTAAGTTTTGCTAAATCTAATCTTATAATGAATCGCAAGATATGTGCCTGATGCGCCTCATGCGGCTATTGGATCTGACGCATTAGCACAATCCATGTTACTGCTTGCGGATGGTCTAGCGAGTGGTGCTCTTATCGCACAGTATGAACAGTTATACAGAAAAAATCCGGAGCTTACGTCGCTCGAATCTAAGAAGCCGGAAAATCAACCGAAAAATCGTTATCGGGATATATCGCCGTGTAAGTATTAACTTTCTCCTATAAAGTAAAATATAGTAGGTGTAAAGAAGAGAGAACTTTACAAATCAAACTTCTTAATTGGATAAAACAATTCATAGAGAGAAAAAGAGAGAATGAAAATATACAACAGCGATATTAGTGAGATAACTGGTACATAATATAATATATATACATGTATTGTTGTAGATGATGTTACTCGAGTAATTTTGATGGGATCTGCAAACGGAGATTATATTAATGCCAATTACGTTAACATGGAAATACCAGGTTCAGGCATTATCAATAGGTACATCGCTACACAAGGTCCCTTGTCTTCCACCGTTGCAGATTTTTGGCAAATGGTTCTAGAAGCTGGCAGTACGCTGGTCGTCATGCTAACAACCTTAGTAGAACGCGGTCGCGCGAAGTGTCACCAATACTGGCCCGCGTATAACGAAACCCTTACGTTGAGGAATCTCACTCTCACATCAACTGCAGAAAACGTCGAGGATACGTTTATTTTTAGAGAATTTATACTTCGCGATGTTAACGTAAGTAGTATATCATACGTATTATCATGGAAATTGTATTTGTTTCTTCGCATACAAATCTATAAAATATTCGACAATTAAGGAAAATACACATTTTTGTTTCTTTCTTTTTAACGCATATATATTCGTATCTGTACAGACCGGCGAAGAAAGAGATATAACACACATGCAATATTGCGGCTGGCCCGATCACGGAGTGCCCAGCGATTGGCGACAATTTACTACGTTTACAGAGCGCGTTAGGGCAGCTCGTACTGGAATAGTCGAACCTGCGGTTGTGCATTGTTCCGCTGGAATAGGACGTACCGGTGTGTTGGTTTTGATGGAAACCGCTCTGTGTTTGATAGAAGCTAATCAACCGGTATATCCATTAGACATCGTACGTTCTATGAGAGATCAGAGAGCAATGATGATACAAAATGCTGTAAGTTGGCGATTTTCATTGTGTCATTACATCGTGCCTATTATTTCCATATTGTAAGGTGTTATTTTATATTTAAATATGATGTTTTTCAGAGTCAATATAGATTTGTGTGCGAAGCGGTCCATAAAGCTTACAACGAAGGGATAGCGAAACCACTTCCAGAATTCAGTAGGTGAAAATAAAGATTCAAAATGGGCAGCATTGTAATTATATCATTTCTTTTCTCACATCTCTTGCATCAAGCGCCATGCCACTAGAAAGTAGTTTTATACTTTGACAATAACATATAATATATATATTATAATTAATTAATATATACATATTAATTTAATTATAACATATATATAATTATATATATATATTTAATATAGTATATATTTCTCTTCTAGTAAAATGGATATTTACTCTCTCTGTGTAAAGTATATCTTTCACATTGGTATATAAAATTGACGTCCGAATCTCGTTCATCACACATTGTGTATTAAAAATTCTTGTTTCTTTAATTTGATCATGTACAGAAGACGAATTTTAGCGACCGATTCCATTTTTCCATACGAAATATTGTCTAATAATGTTGCAATCATATTTGCTACACACATACAACTTAATTGTTTATAATCATTTAAATTATATTTTCTTAAGATAAATATATCCAAGAAGTAAAAGAGGTAATGTACTATATGATACATTAGCATAAAATTTATATAATGGGAAATCAGATTTATTGCATAAAATGAAATCAAGGAGAGATGAAATATATTCACATAAATTCAACCGCCTTAGATAAAAGACTTTATTTAAAACAATAATTTATATAATAATTACATTTTTTATGTATCAATTAAAAAGTCGCTATTTTCGTGTTAACTGCTATTAACGTAATATAACTGCCATTATGTATGATGTAAATATTGAATCATATTTTACATTAGTTTTTTTTGATAACTTAAAATTTTCATATTTTTAACGCAAATTTTGACGCGGATGTGCATCTCGTATTTATTTAAACTCTAAAACATTAGATATATCGAAAAATAAAAAGTTTCAATAAACAAGGTGAACATCCGTGTCAAATTGTATCCTAGTATTAAATAATTATGATGTCGCTTTGTGTATCTGTTTCAACAAATACTTAGAAATAGGCAAACAGATTACACTAAAATCAGCGATATGATCATATAAGATTAACAAGAGAAATGATAATATTAATTAATGCAGAAAATAATATATTTACATCACAAAGTTGAAGTACAAGAAAAGAATGAGTGAAAAATTTAGATGCAATAATATAATTATAAAAAGAAATATTGCATGATATAAACGAAACATACACAAGTTATGTGAATTAAACATATTAGATATTTAGCTATTGCCACGTTAATTGTAAAAATGGCAGGTCCGGATAGATTTGAAGATAATTTTATTATATAATGAAAGTTTGATAATAGACTGAATTGCAAATCTAGCGAAAATATTCCAGTGAAATTGCGCTATACACCAGTAGAGGCCAAATTTGTCATGGAAATGATCATTAACAATTGACGCGATAAAAATCGATTAATCTGTATAATGAATTTGTCCATTTTATATAAAGAGATTATCATACAAACGCTATTTAAAAGCACACAGCGAAGTACAATCTTCACAATATTGGCAGATTGTAGGCAAATTGCAGCTATTCTTTATATACATAAAAAATATGAATCAAAAAGTTAAAGCGTTTTGAACCGTTTTCGTTTTACAATATAAGACAGCCAAATGAATAGGATAAATTTTATACTGAGAAAAGAAACATCTCTTAATCGTTTTCACAATAGTAGTTTGTTTTAAAATGCTAGTAAACTACTCGATAAATGTATATATAACTATGGAGATTGCTTCAATAAGTACATTATTTTGAAGACATATAACTGTGTTTTTACGTACACACTACTAAATACACGTATATTGATCAAAATATACATAAACTGATCCGTCTCAATGTCGTAATAAGTATTAATAATTACAGGATCGTTTTAATTATTAATCGTTTAAGGAACGATAATATATCCAGTGAATAATACAGCTCGCATATTTATTTTTTACATAGTGAGTCATACACATTCTCACATATCTTTGTATAAACGCTCAACTTTCTAATTAGCTTTATGAATGTCATAACTTATAAGCTTCTTTCTATTCAATATATTTGCCGAACCCCTTTATAGTATAATGCATCATGTATTAACATCAGCGCATTTTATAATCTATTTTTGTAATAATACAAGTTGGTACTACAATAAACATTACTAGAAGATAGTAGTCTGTTCATCTTTCATGCGTGGCCAAAAGGGTATAAGATATTTTCGTTTTACTTTCAATTTTTTAAATATTTCTTTAATTTTATATACATTAATCGACATAACTTTTCCTCCATTTCATTAACTTTTAAAATTTTTTATTATTTAACTTATATCTTTTTTTGTAGCGCATGAAAAGGCTAGGGAGATAAAGGAAAAGAGATGAGAAATGCATGAATGATTAAAAGGGCTCGTATTTGTCCACAATACAAATCTAATTCGGCAAAATAAATCAAAGAATTCCTATAATGAAAAGAAACTAAGATTTTTTACATACCAACTCACTAATATATTATTATATACATACATATTAGAAAACAATTATCATATAAGAGAATTACCTCTCCCATGTTTGTTTTACATAATGATCTTGTGTAATATATATAACCTAACAATATATATTTTATATATTACTCATATATTGTATAAATTCATATTTTATGTACATATGTATCAAATATTAACAGTATAAATCAAATTAATTTTATCTTCATCAAAACAAAAAACTCAACTTATAAAAAAATATAAAATACATGTATATATGAAGATACGATATATAAAACAGACAAGGAAATAAAGTAATATTACACATAAATAATAACATAAATTTTATACTTATAAATATATAAGAAATTTGATATTATGCAAGTTACTTATTATTTAGTTTGAAATAATTGTATATTTTTGTTAACATGAACATAATCAGCAAGTAATCTTTTGCTTATGTGTAAAAAGCACTTTGAATATGTTACCACATTATTATTATTTCAAATTGTAATATAATATTGCATTGAAATATTTTTCTAAATCGATTTTATATTTTATATATTTACGATAAACTATTTTAAGACTTTAAACAGTAGTGCCTTGAATATATTTTTCCAAAATTTTAAATACAAACTAAAATGTCTGAATATGCGACATTATTGTATAATTTTGCTTGCAAGCATCAATTGCAAATAAATACGATTATGTCCATTGGTTTAGACTTACAAATCTTGGTAGTAATATGACTAATAATCTAGTCACATCATTTATATTTTTGCAATATAAAATAAACTGGTGCATAACAGGTTTCTTATGATCATTTTCCTAAATTTAAAATTGTTAAATATATATTACGATTACATACGCAAGCAATTAAAAAAAAATTAGTTATAGCAATTTATTTAGTTCGCTGAAAGAAGTTGAAGTTGCAAATTACAAGAAGATTTGCAAATCAAAAAAAACGGTCCTTCCTGACCAGGCATGTATGTAGAAGGAATAATATGATATGTTCCTGCTGGTACATCTTCCAATTCTAAATACACGAACCCACATCTATAAACAAAGATAAGGATATATTGCAGGGTTGTCACAACAACAATTTCTGTAAGAACAATTTTTAGAAATAAAATACAAATACAAAAATAAAAGTAGAAACCTAAATGGTCCAGAGCTTTTTGTCTTAAATGCAGTCGTTGCATTTGTATCATTTAGCACGACAGTATTAATGTCAAAGCCTATTTGATATTGTTTAGGTCCCTTCAAAATAATTAATAGATAATTGTTGTTATGTGCGCTTTCAACGACTGCTTGATATCGCGGATTGCTTGTATATGTGGGATGATTGCCACATCCTCCTGCTGTAGAACCCTTCCATTGACCTGTTACCTGAAGGCAACAAATCATATTAATGTATAGATCTTTAAAATCACATGAAGCGTAAACGACCCAGACAACTGTTTGGAAAATCTAAAGATTCGCAATATACCTCTTCTTCATATTTGTAGAATTGTGGTATTTTTTGTAATGAAAATGGACATGTGCCATATGTACGAAGCGTGTAATAGATCGTATTCGTTTTCTCGTACTGAGATATGACTAGAGTATACTTGGAATCGCTTTGCTCTCCCAATTTTATTTTGCACAGATAGTGCGGACTGTTTATTCTCACACCATCAATGTATGGCGGTGGGTCATCTAAATACACAATTTTTTACAATATACAATTTACTTATACTTACAATATACAATTTACTTATACTTACAATATATAATTTACTTTAATAGTGGCTAAAGATGAACAATATAATACTAAGAAGAGATTGATGCATGCTTACGTGGATAATAAACTCTTTTCCCTTGATTACGATATATCAAAACCGTGATGTATTCTTGATTTTGTCGAAAGTCCGCTATATCTATAATATGTCTTGTAAGAAGCACCCAGATAGCACCACTTCCTTTTTCCTGTATTTCTAATGAGAATTGTGGATTATCACCAATATTATACGCATCTTTAACAGGACCGATACCGGCTTTCCACATTCTGCAAGAACAGAATTATTTTAAACATAATATAAAAAAAACAGCAATAATTTCTATAAAATATATAAATAGTTATATAATTAAAAAAGAAGAAATTACATACTGATGTATGCAATAAGTATGACTAAACAATCCTGGATTCCAATTTAAGTAAAATACGTCAAAGAAACGACATATACTATCGTAATCGATCCAAAAAACACCGTTGTCAAATTCTGAAGCAGATTCCGGATCATAATTTAATGCTTCTTTCAAATCCTGAGTCCAATGTCTCACATCAAGCTCGGAATAATTGCCTCTCCATCGCAAATGAGACCATGGATTTTTCAACTGGAGTAATCTTTCTCCCTATATACATACATGATATTTAAAAAGAGAGTAATATAAATGTTTTTGTCTATGTATTATTAGAAGATATTTGAAACAAATATTGAAAATGGATAAATTTTTTCTTTCACTTACATTAATCTTTCTTACATCATGGACGGCATAGGCATGAGCTGGTACGAGACCCGTGCGGTCCGCATCCGAATCCGACAATTCTCCTGTGGCTACAGTGACTAGCACATCTCCTTTATGAAGTCGTAATAATAACGTATCAAATAGATTATCTTTATTAAAATCCATATCATTTGGTCTTATTGCCCATCTCTCGGGAATCCAGCCAGTTAAGGCGTGTAAATCTATATTCTGTAAAAATAAACAGAATATATATTAAAAGACAAAAAATACTAATGAGAAGAATGATAGAACTCATAATTTAGAGTATTTACTACTATTAGAAAACTTGAGCTCACACTATTCGATCCAGGGAAATCATAACCACCCATTACTTTCATATAAGCCTTCTCAAGTAAAGAAATCCATAGCTCCCCACGATTGCTAGAGTAGGAACAGAGTAATTGGTTGTATCGGCTTACAGGCAAAAGGTCATCTATTATTACTTTGCGTGGAACACCATTGATGTGTAGTTTCACCATGTATTTTCCTGATATTATATGTTCATCATTTCTAATATATAATAAATAACTAAATATGCATATTTATGTGCCAAACAGATTCTAATCGTATAATTTTTCAATATATTTCACAATTATTCAGTTTTATAATGTTAGGAAAGATGAAGCCATCAAGTGTAAATATTTATATCTGTGTGAAAAATAAAATACAAAATAAAAATATATGAATTAGATAAAGTGCTTATACAAAATGTACTTTTCATTGTATAGTTTTATACAAGCATTTATCGAATAGAACAGGATGTGTTGTGAGTGATTTAAAGCAAATCGTGAATAGTTACCAAAAGGATTGTATACAGGCTCCTTTTGCTTATTTTTGGGATAAATAATGGACGTTATAAGTCTTCGTCCGAATTTCTTCTCATATTGGGCACTTACAGCAAGTGAAGCAACAAAGGAACAGTCAGAAATTACCTAAAAAAAATATATAGGGTCATCAGACATTGCATATCTCTTTAAATGTGTTACTAACCGTTTGTTTTATGCTGTAGTAGTCTACATGATGACCAATGACTATTTTTGGTTCAGGATATAATTCCTCTGGTCGACACCATTTAGCAAAGTCAAGCTTTTGTTTTGGTGCTAGTTCTAATAATCCATCTTTATCAGTAAATGGGATAGCATATCGGAATTTTTCAGTAAGGTCAATATTCATAAATGGTACAAATTCATTGTCATTTATATGAGAGCTATGAAACAATACTCTTTTTTCTTCTTCAGTATAATTACTAGTTCCACCAGAAATTTTGAGGTGGGCACTGCTTCCACGATGTAGCTGAGGTTTATTAACATTTCTCACTAAAATTTAATCAAACAATATATGTATAAATATATTATAGGCTTTGTACTTTCCTTTCTTTACACTTACTACCTGGAGCAGCTGATGCATTTACCGGTGGTATAGTATCTGGAAAATTGGTTTCTGGTATAGGTGGTAATTTAGCAAGACTCGTGATGACATTGTCATCCTCGATGGGACTTTTGATTCCTTTTAAAGACTCTGCTCGTTCAACAGCAACTCTGACTAGATCTGTTAATTTTGCTTTCACTTCAACATCACTAGTTTTCTGTGATATATAAACTAAGTAAGAATCATTCTAACAAATACCTAACAGTTAATAACAGAAAGAATTTTACATACTGTACTGAGGCCAAGTTCAGCAGCATCTGTATATAATTTTATTGCAATATCTTTTAAACCTGCTTCATCTGCATCTAACGCTTGGCTTATGAGAAATTTACATCTTTGTAAATCACGACGTGATGGTTCTGTCTTATGAATATTCTGCTCTTCTTCATTAACTAAAAGAATTTTCTACTAGATATTATAGATGTTAGGTTTTACGCAATCTTTGTATATTTATGCAAAAATATATAACTTACCGAGACGTTGTATCAATAAAATCCTTTCACGATAGTCCGAAAGTTTCTGTTCATATGTATCGTCTAATTGTAACCTAGTGAGAAGTTTTACAGCGATATTATAATAATACAAAGCTTGCTTGTATTGACTATTTCCGTCAAATTGTACAGCTCTACGAGCAGCAATTAATGCGTCTTCCAATGTTTGTGCCATATTAACAATTTAGATGGCGATATGAAACACAATTACAAAAATATAAGATTTAATTTACGGTGAATTTTTTGCTTCACTATCTCAGTTGTTCAGTAGCTACTAGCCGCCATTTTGTGATTATTACACCTGATATATCAGAAGGCCTATTATTTGTAGCTGCACTGCTGAACTAGTGCAATAAGTTAGAGTGAGAAAACATATATTTGTCTCACTTCAATATATTGCACCAGTTCAACAGTGCAGCTACAAAGAACTAAAGTCCCTAGAATACAGAGGTTGCTTTCCAACAAGAGACACAGGGTGCTTTCCAATTGCTTAACACATCTTGACACATACGTACACAAAACCAGTTTATTGGTCACATATTATCTAAAATATCTTGTAAGATAACATATAACCAATAAACTGGTTTTGTGTAACACACAAAACGTAACTGGAAAGCACCCACAGATTACGCGACATTATGCCGAAAACTAAATGGGGAATATGTTGGTACCAATGAAAACGCCTGGGTAGCAGAACATTAAATCTGTGAATTGGCAACATTATTGAAGTTGAAGGGCTATCGCACACAATTGACATAACTGCATATGCATAGCATAAGATCGTATGGACCAATGAGCATCGAATATTAGGGCTATCGCACATAAATTGACATAACTGCATATGCATAGCATAAGACCGTATGTACCAATGAGCATCGAGTATTAAGTCGCCATATTGGTGTTCGATGCTTAATATTAGATTCTCATTGGTCCATACGATCTTATGCTATGCATATGCAGTTATGTCAATTTGTGTGCGATAGCCCTAAGAGTGCCGAGATTCTGTAATGGCTTCTGCACACAGGACGCGGCCACACGGCGGAAGTTCGCGCGACAGCCAATCAATATGCTGCTTTTCGTAATAACCTTCTAGTTCTTACGGAAAAACAACATATTGATTGGCTGTCGCGCGGACTTCCGCCGCGCAGCAAGCATTACCGCGTCCTGTGTGCAGGAGCCATTACGGTACGTCTTGGGCTATCGCACACAATTGACATAACTGCATATGCATAGCATAAGACCGTATATACCAATGAGCATCGAGTATTAAGTCGCCATATT